GGCTGCTGCTTCCTTCCCTGGACGCCAGCTTGCCTGCCTCCAGCCCAGCAGGTGCCTGGCACAGGTACCCACCAGCAGCCCAGGGAGCACTGGAGGGGAGGCCTGGGCCGTACCTGCTGTCCCCACGACTGCTCTGGCAGCAGAGGTTGCACCAGGACTCACTCAACCTCTCCAAGCCAAAGCCCTCAGCTGGGAGCCCTGCAGCCCTTCCAGCCTTCTCTGTTTCCACTGCCTGGGTTGGTTTTTTCTCCCCTCTTCCTGCTTATCCCCTTTTTACTCAAACACCTCTTGATTTATACAAGTTTCTTTAGCAATTCAAGCGAATTCTTGAGCACTTGCTTCCTCTGCCCCAGAATGAATCTTTCTTTCCTGGTTGTCTGGGATTGAGGTCTGTGTCCCTTCCACCCCTCATTTCTATCCTCCCTCGTCCATAATCCAGCACCACGGCTGCAGCACCTGAGCATGGCCCATGGGAACCTGCCACTGGTCTGTGTGTCCTCCTGCCACCCTGTCCCGAGGTGACAGCCACATCCCCACCTCTCAGCCTGTTATTTATTGAAGAGCCTTGTGCTGCCACTGTAAGCCCCTCTAAACGTCCTCAATTAAACCTAATCTCTTTTTTCTGAGTTGTTTGTCTGCACAGGAGCCCTCGATCAGCTCTTTGAGCATCTTCACCTGACCTCGTGCTTTGCCACCAGGGCTGGGAGCTGCTGCTGCTCCAGGCAGAGCTCAGCAGGCACAGGGGGGGACAGCAGGGCTGGAGCAGAGGGGGCAGCTCCTCCAGCACATCTCCCCATTGCTGTGGGGCTGCTGGAGGGTGAGGATTGCACCAAAGCTCAACTGAAACTGCTCACCCTGCAGAGCCCAGGGCCTGGGAGCAGCCAGGCCCCCCCACAACCTGGGTGCAGGAGCCAGTTTGCAGCAACCCAGCAGCAAGAGCTTGACAAGAGTTTGCAGCACTGCAGACCCCCCTCCCCAGCCAGCCCCCAAAAGCCTCATCTTCCCCCCCCAGCCCAGGGGCTGTCAGCAGCAGCTCTGGGCAAGCCCTGCCCCTCCAGCTTCTCACCCTGGCACAGCTGAGCAGGGCACCAAGCCTTGTGGCCAAGGGGGCCCTGTGGCCACCCCCCAGCCTGTCCCACCACCCAAGAACCACCCTGGCTGCAAAGGGTTCAGCAAAGCCATTTATTCTGCCTTTCCTGCTCCCACAGATCTCCAGGTAGAAACTCACACCAGCCCCCCCAGGGAATTCACAGCACCCTGAGTGGGATCCCAGCTGTGGAGAGGAGGGAGCCCAGGCTGGCAGGGGGTGCTGCTTCCCAGCCCTGCCCCTCAGCTGTGCCCCCTGCACTGGCAACACG